ACTATAATAAAAATATAATTTGTTACAACCAACAAAAGACAACAAAATGAGAATGGAAAAAAGAAATAAGGGAAATAGCATATAAAACGTGGCGCGGGCCCACTTGCCATTTCATTTGGTATTTCATAAAATGGAAGCTCCCACTATATGAAATAGGTTCTGCAACCATGAAATAGGAAGATGCAAGTGCCACATCACAATGGAATAGCTATATGACAGCCATTGCGGAAGCTCTTACAGCCTGTTTGCAGATGCTAAAATTTTAGGAAATGAAATTCCATTTCTCAAACTTTTCATGATTTTCATGTTTGTAAGTGAAAAATAAATAGGAAATAGAATTTCAAGAGGTAAAAAGTTAGAAATTCTAAATCCTATCAAAAGTTATCGGAATTCAGATTCTCACAAGAAATGGAATTCATTTCCTAACGGAATTATACCCAAACAGGCTGTTAATGAATCTCAAATATGAGACAGCACAACTCCCAAATCCAACAGAAAGAAAAACTTTTTGTCCTGATATGATACCTCTTGAACAAAAGAAATTGACCTCTCTGTTTTTAGTTAAAAGAATCTCATCTAGATCTTACTGGGAAGAAACATGGATCTTATGTCCTCACAGTCACAGTAGAGAAACAGAAATCAATGATTTTGCCACAAAAATCAATGATCATGCCAACTAGTGGCAACTTGTTTCTTTTTAGGACTAGTACCAAATCAGTCACCCAACTTTTACATTTAACTATCTTGTCACCGAAGTTTTGTAATGAATGACAAGATTTTCATGCTGCTTATTATCGTCAATTTCGTATTTCATCCAAATATCCAGAGCAGTGTGTCAACTCATCCAAATTATATCAAAAGAAGTTCACATGCTTTCTGACTAAACACTAGGGGTCGTTTGGATGGAACATTCTAAAAATGAGGCAATTTGGGATAAAAGTATCATTTTAGAAAATGAGTTAATTGTATGAGGAAATGTTTACATAATTGTCTTGTTTGGCTTGTGATTTGGCATGAGACAATTGTGATGATGCATTTTATGAAAATACATATTTGCCCTCATACAATTGTGATGACCCATAATGAAGCAATTTCAATTATCTCATGTCCAATTGCCTCATTCCTACTTTTTGCAGCCAAATGGGAAAATTTGGCCCAATTGTCTCATTTTGAGTCAATTGGAGTACATTGACTCATCACTTTCATCCATCCAAACGACCCCTAAGTAGGCGGTGGAGGAATGAATGGTTGATTGAAGTTTACTAAAAAAATAAGTTAGGATGAGGTTAAATGTGTTGTCCATCTCCACTAAATTGCATGCTTTATCATTAATTTAGCTAACTTGATATGAATCAATATATTGAGACGAGAAAGGTTGATAGAGATGAACACGAACAACAATTACGTTAATTATTCCAAACTTCAACGATAAATCTTATAAAAACTTAAATAATATTTGACCGATTTGTTAATTACCCGACTCTTCCGTCTCATTTATGTTTTTTAAAAACTTCATTATCAGCCACAACAATCTTCACCAAATCTTCCAGGAGTAGGGAAAACACAACAGATTGAACTATTGAACATCCTTGCTCTAGTTGAAACAATGATTGTGTCCAATTTACAGTTGACCCATTTGGACTCAAGTAGGCTAAAGGAAAATAAAAGCTATTTACAAAAGAACAGAAAGAGAAAACAGCTTTACAGAGGTGATTTCATGAGGCTTATGAACCAAGATCAACTACCAATTGACCCCTCCAAAGAAAAGACCTAGACAACATCTAGTAACTGCAGCTAACTTCCCAGAATCTCACCAGCAGAGCCATTTACAGAACCCTAAAAACCCCACTTAAACTACTCAAGTACAAGACTTGATCAAGCCCAAGTTATACAGAAACTTCTCTGATCTTGATCGAAAGATGTTACCGAGAGAGAACTTGCCACTTTCTTGAGCCGGTGGGGAACTCAAGTAAGCTTCCTCCTTCACTCGAAGGATCGCCAGACCGATCTCTTTCCTTACGGCCTCGATTGTCTCAGTCTTCACTGTAGGGTGTCCTGATGCATCAGTCACATAGAAGGCATTCACTGCTTGGTCGCCTCTGGTACTTACCTCTGCTCGACTCACAGAGAGACCATTTTCTCTGAAGATCCGAGTCACATCTGATAACAGGCCAACTCTGTCTTCACAACAGAGTTCTAATCTAATCCCCTGCCATAGAGAAGTTCATTCCTTTAATCAAAACATCAAGAACATGAAAAAAGAAGAACAAGGGAAGCAACCATGGTTGAAGAATAAGACCTCAGATGTTCTTCTCTTTATTGCAGCTTCCAAGCAATTGATCACCCTTTGCCTTTCTGCTTCTGAGCTAATTGGAGATCCATCCATGTGCCTGATGTAGAATTCCTACAGAATAGAACATAAATTTTGAGCTAAACATTTCATAAAAAAGCAATGGGAAACCTAACAAAACTACTGTAAAACTCACGACTCACACATACACCATGCATAGAATCGTTTGAGGAGCGGGCAACATTGAGAATTTTGCGAGCATGTGAGTCATCAAGGACGTGCTTACTAACAGATAACGACATACTACAGTCACTACAAACCCTTCTACTACTAATTATCAACAAATACAATAGAGAAACAACAAACCTGATAAGCCTCTGATCCTTCAGCAATGATGGTGGCATGATAAACAACATACTGCATATCAGTCAGCGTGCAAACCGTATCAAACAGCAGCTTAGGCCTATCTCGACACCTCAAGTTCACAACCGTGTACCCCTTCTCCAAACAATTCTCCACATTGACAAGTGGCCTATTCCCATTCGCAGAATCCACATCCTCCTCCACATCATAATCCCTATCAGCATACATCATCTGATGGAGCCTCCTGTCCTTATGAGTACACCCCACCGAAACCTCAGTATTAGCACTCCTCCAATCTCTATCCCCCTTCAGCACATACAACAGCAACTGCTTGATCTTCCCAAGCCTATCCGGATCGTCGATGGGTGCCCCAGTAGCCTCGTCGGTGATGTAAACTACCGAAGCCATCCTGGAATTGTGTGTCCAGACCTCTGCTGCAGCCACATTGCACTTGAGGTCTGCAAGAACTGCAAACACCTCTGATAGCAAACCGGGTCGATCCCTTCCTGTCAATTCAATCGTTGTGTTCTCGTCTGCTGATTGGACTACGCCTACTGATCGTCTCAGGGATCGAAAGCTGCTTCTTGATCTTGGTCCCAGTGACTGTTGAAAGCAAACCAACAAACATCCAAATAAACATGTTGATGTTCAATCAGTATAAAGGACGCATCTTTAGGACTTATATGTTTCACTTTCAAACATATATCCCATTTCCCATGTCGATACGAGAAAGAAACGGTTACACAACCCAAGATAAAGTGATTAACATGGTATAACCTATTGATTTTACCTGTTGAATTCTGTCGGCAACATCATCCTCGGATAGCTTATTCCCATTCTGATCCGTGACATGAAATACTGCCCACATAAAAAATAACTAAAAATTAGTTTCAAAGAAAGGAAACTAAATATATTTATTTACAGAATTGAGAAATGTTTGGGGGAGAAATTATAGATGAAGCTAACCATCCATGAACCATTCGCCGTCGGAAGAAATATAAGCTCGGCGAATGATGAGATCGAGATCAGTGAGAACCTGTACCACTTCCAACAAACTCCCATGTTTATTAGCACTGTCAACCTAGAATGCAACAAACCAAACAAACATTAGAACAAAGGGGGGAAACAACCGAATTGGGAAGAAAGGAAGGAGGGCTTTGAATTGAAAATATAACCTTAATCAAGGTGGCTTTCCGGCTCGAAGCATTATCAACGGTGACCCTGCAAATATTTGGAGACGGCAAATGAGAAAAAGAAAATTTATGAATTATGAATCGAGATTGATAACTTGGGGAGGAACCCAATTCAGGAATTGAATCAAAGAGGTGGAAAAGAGGGTAAAGATTGGACCTTGGGGGGTTCATACGAATAAGGAGCTTCTCAAACTCGTCATCCATGGCGACAGAAGGAGACCAGACATCCATTTTTTGGGGGAGAGGAAGAAAGAAACAGAAATGACGTGTAGGGAAATGGAGATTGAGCAAATGGGGATCTTTTTGCAGTGTGTGGGGATATAGTAAAGATTGAAACTTTATTTTTTTTAGGGGCGGTGGAGGGAAGTGGCTGAAGGCAGGGCTCTCTGTTTTATTTTCTTTTTTTCGGGGTTGTTCTGTTGTTGGTTTTAACCTTTGGATTCTGTGAGAGAGAGAAGAAGAAGAGACAGAGAGAGAGAGAGAGGGAGAGGGAGAGAGTGTTTGTTGGCTGGCTGTTGTCTTTTGAGATGGACGAAGAGTTTTGAGGAGGGACAAGATTCTTCTTGTGCATAAGTCAGTTTTATTAGCACCAGTAATAAATAGCAGGTGCGTGAGTGTGCGAAATTGTATTGTACAGATTGAGTCGTAATTATTTAGTCTCATGTTGTTAATTAAACTGATAAGAAAATTTTATGCTATTGTTATGGTTATACCACGTTTTATTTATTATGTTTTTAACTAATTAAGTCTTTGCATCATATGTCACGTTTTTCTAATTTTAAATGTTCTTTTAACTGGTAAATACGCTATACAATGACAATTTGTCGCGACTCTATAATGTTCTTTTGCAATTTTCTTAGTAAACTGTAAATCGATAAATTTATCTAACTCGTGCAATCTCATTAGTGAGATTCAAACTCCAATTGTAAAATATTGTTCTTGGGAACAAATTCAAATGCAAAGGGAAAGAGGCATGGGACAAACCAGGCCAAGGGGCAAGGGAGGAGGCAAGAAGAAGGTTGTGGAATATGAGATTGCGCTCTCATAGTATAAGGTCTCGCCCAAGCATCTGGTTGTGTCGCTTACTTAGAATAACTCGGTTTAAAACTTGTTAGAGAAAATATATATTAATTCCGTTCTTACTATCATCCATTCGTTATAATGGTATTCACTCTTATTTTTCAGTTCCTACGAACTAAACACATAAACTATGTCCAAATCATCTAACCTAATTTTTTTTATTTCTTTCTAAAGTAATTGATTATTACTATTTCCAACTTTTGAGAAACTGGTCAAAACTCCCCTTGAACTAAGCCATGTTGGTAGTATTTTGTGTGGTTATGGTAGAAATTTAGGAAGAAGGTGCAAGTAGGCAATGGAAAGAGTAGAAAGAGTCATCACCACAAAAATGATGGAATAGGGTGGAACACAAAAAGAATAGAATGTAAATGAGAACCACTACATTAGGCAACTATCATTATTGGAAATAAATAAATAAGCATTTATCTCAATCGACCTTGCCACCTTGGCTTTCTCAATGTAAATCTTACAAAGGATTTAATTCAGATGGGGATTGGAGTGTCCCTTTGATCAACATGAAATTAATTTCTTGTGATTTCCCATATGGATATATATTTGCTTCTTTCTATTGGTATTTCATTTTTTTGGGAAAATAATAATTAATTGTTATTGGATTGTTTAGGGTGTGAAAGGGAAATGGAATGGGGAGGCTTTAATTACCTTTCCTTTTCAAGCATGATTCTGTTGAGCTGTAGAGTATCTATTTGTCACTCTTCTTGTTGTTGGGCCGTCAGAGCACTTTACTTTTCATTTCTTCTATTTCCATCATACCTATATATTAGTTTTTTGTGAGTATTATTATTATTAGTTTTTTTTTATTTGTATGATATATTATCTCTTACAGCCTTATCTCTCCGTCATTGGCCTCAGTTTACGGTTTTGTTTGGCTACTTGAGGAATATAGATTCCCCCTACCCACTTGTTCTTGGAAAAAATCCATGAATATGTTAGTTATTAAATTTTTTTGGGCAAATACAATATATTATCCACAACTATTAACAAACGGGAAATTATATCCATAACTATCGAAATACAAAATAATAGCCAACTGTTAAGTCTCCGTTAACACTTCCGTTAGATGATGGTGAATTTGCAGATGCTATGCTGACGTGGCAGTCAACACAAATGCCACATAAGCAGGTCAACCTTCACATCTCTCCCGTCTCCCACTTCCTTCACTCTTTCCCCATCAGTCATGGAAGAACCAACCTCCACCACCTCCTCCCTTCCGCCCGCCGTCGCCGCCACCGACAAGGAAGGAAAATCCGCCGAATTCCACCCATTTTCCATCTCAACCCCACAAATCCGAGCCTTCCACCTCGCATGGCTATCCCTCTTCTCCAACTTCGTCTCCACCTTCTCCATCCCCCCTCTCATCCCCTTAATCCGCGCCGACCTCGCTCTCTCCCCATCCGACGTCTCCGCCGCCGCCACCGCCTCCTTCGCCGGCTCCATCCTCTCCCGCTTCGCCATGGGGCCCTTATCCCACCTCCTCGGCCCCGCCACCGCTTCCGCCGCTCTCTCCTTCCTCACCGCCCCCGCCGTCCTCTTCGCCGCCTTCGTCTCCTCCCCGGCCTCCTTCCTCGTCGTCCTCTCCCTCGTCGTCCGGCTCCTCGTCGGCCTCTCCCTCGGCAACTTCGTCGCCAATCAGTACTGGATGACCTCCATCTTCTCTCCCTCCGTCGTCGGCCTCGCCAACGGCGTCTCCGCCGGCTGGGCCAACACCGGCGGCGCCGCCGCCCAATTCCTTATGCCCCAAATCCACTCCCTCCTCTCAATGAAACTCTCCTCCTCCGCCGCGTGGCGGCTCTCCTTCTTAGTCCCCGGGGGCGAGCGTCTCTCCACCCTGCAAATGAATGGGATGGCGAAGGAGATGGATGGGATGGCGAAGGAGAAGGCGGCGTCGGTGGCTTCTAAGAGGTTCGTTCCAGGGCGGCGGATTGGAAAATAATAGGGTCTTCAATTAAACTCACTGAACAAATGAAGAGCAGTGGAGAACCCAATTACCGAATCCCCATCGATGGATCCTCATCAATTTCGCCATTGTTGCTTCACGAGGAGCAGGAATCGCAGTTCGGTGATGGTGGTCACACCAGAATCAGGGCTTCCTTCACTGGTTCAGTCTTCACTCTTTCCACGACGATTATCGGAGCTGGAATCATGGCATTGCCAGCCACCATGAAAATCTTGGGCCTGGGGCTCGGAATCGCGCTCATAGTGTTCGTCGCGGTTCTCACAGAGCGGTCGCTGGAAATGCTGCTGAGATACAGCAAGGCCGGGAAAATTCTTTCCAGCGGAGGGGATTGGGAAAAAATAGGTTTTCTCTTTTTTTTATTAATAATAATGATTATTTTAATATATTATTGTTTTAATATTCTGACGTGGAATGGTGAAGTGGCAGTCTCCGTTATAAAATTTAACGGAGATACAGACAGTTAGCCATTTCATGATTCGCAATAATAGTTGTGGCTATTATTTTGTATTTCGATAGTTATGGATATAATTTCCCGTTTGTTAATAGTTGTGGATAATATATTGTATTTGCCCAATTTTTTTTATCAAAATACGTTAGTTATAAAAATAATTTCCAAATATGTATGTTTGTACATCACCGCAATAAACCAAAACAGTGAAAGAGATCATCGCAGTAGACAAAGACAGTGAACTAATCACAGTTTTCATTAAACACAATTAATTAATCACCACAGCGGGTAATAAAGGTTAACCAATCACCGCGCTGGACATTGACAGTGAATTGGTTCACCGCAGTGGTCCACAAACGGTGACCCTTTAATCCATACGCGTTATTAATCCGCGCCTTCGCGCCCCTTCGTTGTAGCCGTAGGATGCAGTGAGGCATGGGTTCTGGTTTTACTCCCAGATTCGACACCTCACAACATTACATGTCAGCGATCCACGCCAATCACCGCAAGAGAGGAGAGCGGTGAATTGACTGCAATCGTCCACTATGGTGCCTTGACTGCAATCGACGGCTGCGATGATTTCCCCGTCTCTCTCTCCAGCAGGTTCTTCTCCTATAAATACCACCACTCCTCCCTCATTCCAAATCACACCACAACACAATTCTTCTTTCTCCCTCCCTTCCTCCACTCTTCGTTCTAAGTATGCTCTGTGGTTCCGGCTAAGTACGATCTTCCGCATCATAAAGAATTACTAGAGTTTTTTTACAACCCTCTTCCCTAAAGAACCATGCCCAACTTAAGCTGTTCTCCCCTTCAACTAATGCAAATGCCAGAGGGAAAATACTTAAATTTCCATCAACGCCAGTGGCAATGAGAAGAGTTCCTCTGTATTTCCCAGTAAGGAAAGTTCCATCAACCTGTTGAAAATAATTTTAATTCGTATAAATATTACGTAGTTAAAATATGAACTAGTACAATAATAATTAGTCTGTAATATACTTGTATCACTGGAATGCAGAAGGCAAACCCGTCAATGCATGGCTTGAATGCCCAAAATAGATGATGAAACATAAACTCATTATGTACTCATACTTGATCTTTAGTTCGTACATTGTTGTAACAAGGCACGAAAACAGTCCCAGGGTTGGACTCCTCCATTGTGTCCATTAGTCTAGGGAGTAAAGCATATGAAACGTCCCAATCACCATACACCTCAACGATGGCCTTCTACTTTCCATAACATGCCTTCTTGTACCTGATCGTGTAGGAATGTCGGTCTTTCAGCTCGGCCATGATAGCTTTGATCTTGATATCTGGTTGTGCCTCGATCAAGTGCTTAATGGTTCTTGCCACTTTCTTTGCTTTAAGTGGACGGTGATCCTGAGAAAGTATGGATGATGAGCAACTGTGGTTGTTCTCTGCTTTTCGAATGACCTAGGCACCCTTTCTCTTCATATTTGCAGCACGCAGTTGCCACATACAACCTTCTCCATCATGCTTGCATATGACATGTAGTTGTTTGGTGTCAAAGTATTTTACCTTACACTCGACATTGCGCCGCATGGCTTTTCGGTAAAAGCATCTTGAACAACGTCTTTCGAAGTGAACGCCATACCCACCTCCAAATTGGCATTCGGATTGTACACCAGCATATGGATAAAGTCATGGGCATTGTTCTGACTATATAAATATTGAGATGGAACCTCTTTGTAGTATGGTGTTGGTGGCTCACAGAACGCCACCTCGTTGTCGTCGATATCGTCCTGCTCTTCCTCCTTGCTGACTAATCTTAAATCTTCCTCACTTTCCTCGTCGCTGGAGGCGAATGGATAGCTCGGCCCTGGAGGATCATCGTGACCTACATAACCAACATCGTCTTCTCGCTCATGTGAAGTACGCCCAAATCGAAGGGTGTTCTCAATGTCAGCCCACTCTGGCCCCCAAGCAAGTCATTGAACATCGTCGGCCTCAACCGATGGGGTGGGCTCAGCATGTTGCGAGTATTCTTCCCATGGCACATCTCCTGCATAACTACCTCCTCCGTAGTTGCTTGAACTACCACCCCATTCAAACCCTCCTACAAAACCATCATCATAAGAATACTGGTGAGAATGAGTTTCACCCACCGCCTCGGTCTTGACATACACCTTTGCAAACCACACCTCGTTGACAGATAAGAACTGTATCATCATGGTAACCACGTCATCATCATTTATGACAACCTCTTCGTAAATAACTCCACCAGCACTCATGTTTGATACCGGTAAGTAATTTTACCGACTCTCGTCTGTCCGCCTATACAAATCCTGTCTGCACAAATGTCACAGAGTTCTTGCCACGTGAATCTCGACTCAATTTTTAGCATAGTGGATTCACTAACTTCATAATCGATCTCAATGTCAGAGTTTGTCACTCGACCATTCCACCAAATAATAAGCCGAAACTTCTTAAATTTACTCATGTATGCAATTTATAATATGTAACTATTAGCTTAACTAGAATAAGATGTAGTATAATTAGTACTTGGGCTACACAAACAATATCCAACACCATATTTTTAGGGCTACGAAAATAATGTCATCCAAAACCATAAACAACCACAACTAACTAATCGAAACATGAACCATAATTAGCATTACAATAACATGAGTATACTAAACAAATTCATCTAACTAACATCATTCATACCATAATTAATCTAAATATCTCTAACATAGCATATTTGCCACTAACCGCAACTCATTAAATACAGACATATAATTATTAAAACATCAATATCTAAACAATACATAATTATATCATACTGAAAAATTTGAGTTTCTGTATCCGTAGTTGCTGGAAGCTGGCAAAAGAAGAGATTTTGCAAAAAGTTGAGTGGAATGTGACAGATTTTTTAGGCAGGTACATGGGAGGGATGAGTTATTTGTATGCAAAGCAGGTCAGAACATCACCGCAAGAGTCCATTGCAGTGAAGCATTCACCGCATTGGCCTATTGCGGTAAATACTAGGTCGTTGTGACCTAATTTTCCATCTACTAGGGCTGGAAAACGTGATAAAGAATCACTATTTTTCACAACAGCGGTGATACATTCACCTCTCTAGACGACTGCGGTGAATAGTTTCACTGTTTTATTCCAACGCGGTGATTAGTTCACCGTTTTCCTTTATTGCAGTGACTCTTTCAATGTCTTTGTTCGTTGCGGTGACTCTTTCACTGTCTTGGTCCATTGAGGTGATGTACAAGCATACGTACTTTGGAAATTATTTTTATAACTAACATATTTTGATAAATTTTTTAATAACTAGTGTATTTTGTGATTTTTTCCCTTGTTCTTCCATTATATCCCTCATCATATGCTTTACACCATAGTTTCCTAGGAGTGGTTGCTAAATTATGTATTATGATTTATGAGAGTGTATGTTTTTATGGTAGGTGGTGTATAAAGTCTAGAAAGGACTGACGATTTTAGACGAAAAGGCAAATAAATCGCACTACATACAAAAATCAATAGTAGTGGAGCTATGTATAGTCTAGGAGGGAGTAAAGGTCCTCTCAAATTTTAATCTAAAGTTATAATATGTGTAAGGCTTAATTTACTTGTGTAGCCATAACTTTCGCGTTCTGGACAATAATAGCTACTTTTTGAAAAATACACAAAATAGCCAAATTAATCCAATTCTTTAACGATGTTAGTTTACATGTTGACTGGACTAACGACTCTATCAGTGATGTGGTGACTTTTCATCTTGATTTAACTAAATAGGAAATGTCCTTATTTTGTAATTAATTGAAAAAAGGGAGACGAACCCCTTGATCCACCGATTGCCAACCACCATCCTTCTATATCGCTATTTGCTACCTCCGCTACCTCCTCCTCTTCGAACTGGTCTCCCTCCGTTACATCTACTCCAATCTTCATCTACCACCGATGAAGCCTAACCACCTACGACCTCCCTTTCCTCATCCCAATTTGATTGACACCCATTCCCCCATCGCAAAACCGCAAAAACCCAATCCCTCCATCCCAGATCTAAAGCTCCCACACGCCACCTGCTGCGACGCTGCCACTAGTAGCACTTCTTTAAAATTATTTTTGTTGTGCTAAGAATGATTAGTTATTTTAAGTGGATTAAAATGAATTTTGTTGTGTCTTGTACTATTTGAATATTTTTTATTTAAATATTTTTTTAATTTCCAATTTTTTTTTTATAGTTTAATTGTTGAAAGGGACATCCCTTATGTAAGTTTTTTGGATCCTTCGCTGATTTTCACTTCAATTTTTGGTAATAACTACACTAATCTCATTATCTCATGGAATTGAGAAAACAAAACATAGGCTATGGGGTGGTGAATTGTCCTTCTCTGTTCGCAATATTATTCAACCAAACTGAATCTAATAGAGATACTCAATCATTGAATTTGTGCGTTTTGATATCAACTTTACTACTTTAGGATAACGAGTAAAGCTGAGTTAGACATACATTAAAGAAGGCTTTTGCAGTTTTGCTGAAACTATTCACTACCCATTGGCAATCCATTGGAATCTCAAAGTTGATTTTTGTCATTTAAGAATTTGGTTCCTTTTTATCATTATTTTTTCACAATAGTAACGATACATTTATTAATTTGTCAGTTACTATAAAGAAAACCCACCATTAATTTTGTGCTCGTTTCATCACTTTCATGATAATTAAGTTTAGTTAGTGTTATTTTCGATGATTAGTTTCACTTTTCTGTATTTTTTTTATAACCAGAATCTCACACACGACTTTAGCGATGACGAAGCAAGATCAAATATGGGGTTTACCTGTTTGAGCCATTTGTACCCTTCATTAAGACCCCTACTAAATGCCTTCGGGAACACCATAGCGGGCCTCATTAGGGATCGAACACTGAATCTGCC